ATATGTTAAAATCCATGTCCGACAAATGCCACTGTACACAAGGCAAATGAGAATATCAGCTTCAACTGCAACTGAATCTACAATGAAAAAAGAGAAATAAATTTGCTTAGTAATTACAACAGGTAAGTTCATAAGGTATGACAAGTTACGCAGGAATTTTTTTTTTAATACTTAAAGTTAAATGATCTATAACTTCTAAACAGTGCATGGTAAAAATTTAAAAATAGCACAAGTTGTACCACTTTTTATTTCCTATAAAATGGCATCAATTTAAAAAATATTTAAATTTCATGGGAAAGTACCTTAAAATTCCAAGCATATCTTCACATTTAAAATTCTATTGTCTCTGTTTCTAAGTAAAGGAACTACTTTTGATGATGCTTTGTCCTTTATAGTGAATATGAAGTAGCTTTGTTATTATTACTACTATTGCAAAGCTCATGCATACTGGTCAAGTAGTTTCGCTTGATACTTTTTTTGGTACAAATGTACATGCATGTATCTTTGTCCACATATGTCTAAGTGTGGCTAAGGCATAACGCTTTACATTTTTGTATATATTTATTTTATAACTTTACTGTAGCTATTCTTTTGTAATCATTGCTTTATTATTGCCATCTTAAGTAAATAAAAAATTTTTTTGCATAAAATAGGGTTGTGAAAAAATGAAAGAAACAAGGGGGTTGAGTTCGATAATAATAATAATTATTATTATTTCAAATAAAAGTAATATAAATTAATTAATTTTAAAAATTTATTCATAAAATAATACAAACATTTCAGTCTGCCACATAATCTCCCTGCTCTCAATTCCACAACATCCCCCTCTGCTCTCACAGCCACACCATTTCCATGCTCTCACTTCTACATTATCTTCCTGCTATCACTACCACAGAGTCATCTCACTCCTTTCAATGGCAAACATAGGCAAAGCCAGGATGTAACAGAAGGGTGGGCCAATTGGCACACAAAGCGTGTCTGTAAAAGTTTGCAGCCTAATTAATTATTTATAGTTGGTGTGGTCTTAATTGATTAAATGAATTAATTATTGTTATCCAAACAATGATATTCTTCTGTTATCATGATAATTGACAAAAATGCTTATAAAATCATCTAAGACTACAAATGAGGCTGAATCTACCTCCATGCTTATGATAGCAAATGCATTAAGCCTTTCAGTGGTCATACCTGACCTCAGAAACATTTTTACACGTTTGACACATGAAAAGGACCCATCAGACAATGATCATGATAGATGCTGTTTGCTAAGTGGAAGGTGATGCAAAGGATCAGCAAGCATAACAGTATGATTTGTCCACTAAAACTGAATATTCCAGCCAAAGAAAATTTAGTGAACTAGATGGACTGAAATGACCTATCAGTTTTTATACTCAGTACACACAAATAAAATAATTGGGGCGAGCCTGAGCTTGACCTACTCAGATGACTAAGAGGCTGTATGTATGCACGGGCACGATATTGTGGTCTAACTATTATTAATGTGAACAAACCAATATACAATAGACTAATACTGCTCACGAGCTCCTCTTCAATATTAACCAACTGCATTAACAACAGAGCAGTTTCCATGTGTTGTTTGTTAAGTTTAAAGCAACATTGATTTTGTTTTCAAGTGAATTTGAAAATTGAGCCAAGTCGAAGCTCATAATAGTTGTCGTAGGGAGCTCTACAGACAGAGAATGGCTGCAAAGACTCCTGAAGCAAGAGAAGCCAGACTGGCTTGAAGAAGAGTCGTAAGTAAAGCTCGTAGGCACACTGAGACTCCTCAGGAGAGAGACGCCAGGCTGGCAGCAGCTAGAGCTTGTAGGGATGCCAAGACTCCAGAAAAGAGACATGCTAGCTTACAATCACAAAGAGAGCAAGAGACATTTGCTACTAGAAACCTCTGTTTATCTGTTAACAGAGTTAGAACCCTGTCAGTAGAATCCTGCTGATGGAGACCAGTGTTTATCAGATAACAGAGAGGTCACATTCAAGAAGAGAGAAAGAAACTCATGCTGATAGGGATCACAGTCTAGCAGCTGACAGAAGCAGTTATCAATCAAGGAGACACAGAAAAAGGGAGGATCAGGCAGGGGTGTATCCAGCAGGGACTGAGGTGGGCTTGAGCACACCCCTCATGGCTGGGCTCAGAAAAAAATTACTCCAATCCTGGACTTTTGCATCACTGCAAAGCCTCTTAACAATGTTATTTAGCCCCCTGATTATGATTTATGCAGTCTCCAGTGCTTTAAGGAGTGATCAGAAGTCGTCAGAAGTAACAGTATGCTTGAATTTATTTTGACCCCACCCATAATTCACAAAAATGAAAGAAAACGCCCTCAGCACCATCCTTTCCAAATTTCTACATACGCCTCTGATCACGAGTCTCAATCTACTAGCCCAGTGGAATGATGGACTTTCTTGAAAGTATTTCATCTCTCACTTTCTCCACATGTGAAACATATTTGGAACGATTTTCAAACATGAAAGTTTCCAGAAAACAAAATGAAGTCAATGAGTGTCGTAAGTGTGCTACTGAGAAGCGCATTCCTAAGCTCTACTCCTCTGGAAACAAAATGAAACCTAGACCAGTACCACCACAGTGACAGGTATTAATATTTTATTAATTTTTAAAACATTGATAGTTAGATAGTGGTCGTATATTAGTAGGAGGTCTGTTTAAATAATGAGAAAGCCACGTACATTGTCACATTGGTGCATGTATTATTATTTTTTAATTATATTAGGACTTATCACAAGCAGATAAAATCTTGGTGTCTGCTATAATGCGTTATGTCCATTTACAGGATACCTCATGGGCAGTATGGCTATAGTGGACATGTCATCAACATTCCTCAGGATGTCAAATCATTTGCCACCAGATAACCCTGCCTACCAGCTCAGATTGATATTGTAGTTGTTCGGAAAGGAGAGCAGACACACAAGGACTTTCATGTTCGCAGGAGAGTCTTTGACGATGCTTTGACTTGGCTGATAGCCAATAATGTGTACTACCAGAAGATTGGAATTAGTTTGGATCAGGACACATTGGCGATGCTACCTAAGGATGGAAACCCATCTAATCTTCATACAGTTCAGCCAGCAGAGTCTCAAGGGGTAACAGCATCTAATGACACTAGCACCACTGAGGAAGAGGAAGTCTATTTATCATTTGTACCTAATGCTGCACCACCAGCTACTCAGAGGGAAACCATTGAGCAAGCTGTACAATTATTAGGACAGTCACAGCCTTCTCATCTCACGTGGCTCAGCATTGGAGGGACTCCTATCAATGAGTTCTTGGCTGAGGTATACTTCTCAATGGCATTCCCTACTTTGGTTCCTACTGGTAAGACTGTGTGACTGTGCCATGATAAATTTAGATATTTTATTAGGTGCTGCTGATTTGATTGGTACTTGAATGAATGCCATAACAGCAGGTCAATACTTCACTCACCTCATGAAGTATGATGATGGAAATTTGCTAGGCACCCTCGCTTTTGTTTCTTTGCCCTCAACACTGAGATGTGATGGTGTACTAATGAAATGGGACGAGTACACAGGTCTGTCATGATACAACAGGAACTATTCTTGGAGTGTATAGTGACTATGGTCTCCTGTGTACTAGGATTTTTCCTGCTGGTGACGCAGTAAAGAATGCTGTAATATCTCGTCAACGTGTGGCAGCCATGTGTACGTGTTTAGTAATTTGGTCTAGTGGTTTGCTAATTATTAAACTTTAATTAATAACAGTAGTCACACCCATCACTGAAATTTTAGGCCCGG